TTGACTGTGAAATATTGGAAACCTTATCGCAAAGAAAACAATAGCTACAGCGTTGTAGAAATCAATTTGAGGGGTTGAAATTCTTTGGGAAGTTGATTGATGAGTATGAAATTGATAATGCAAATGGATGAAGACACCTTTAAACACCAAGAACAGAGGATTAATTGATGATGGGAGCAGGGCTAGGAGTACATGGACAAGAAGGATTTCATTATTCTGCATTTCTCAAGCATTCATTCAATCACAAACTGGGAATCCCAGTTGAGATTGAGGGGGGTGTTGAATATATCATTCCAGCTCAACAATAGTTAGTTAGATAGTTAAGAATGTGGCTGCGTTGTTATAGCTGTTATCTAATTAGTTAGTTAAATAATTTAGACTGCAAGCTAGTCATGATGGCTATATAAATTGTATTCTCATAGTTGTAAAAATTAATTCAGTATCAATGTAATCAATCACTTTCTCTCTCTCTCTCTCTCTCTTTGCATTTCTTCGATACATGCTCTTTCTGCATTTCTGTTAATATATAACACATGGACCATTTTGACATTTAAGCCAACATTAAATATCCGTCTAGTCCGCCTAGGCTAGGCCTTGGCCGCCGCCCAACTAGTGTCTAGCGTTTTTTTAGAACCTTACTTATGAGTTACGATGAGTGGAATTCGAACTTGATAAATGGCAGATATAATATACTAGTCAATGGTAATTTAATCCATAATGTAAAATTTTAAGGTAAATAACTTTGAAAGAAAAGTTGTTATTAATATATTTTTCGGTCAAAATAATTGACATGAAAGTTATTACGCATCAATGTTTCTAGAAAATTAGATATGAACTCAGAAGCATTGGGTATAACAAGAATAAACCAATAAAGTTATTATGCATCATCTCCTTCACCTATTATGCTGTACCTTTTCGATTTTTTATTTTTTTTATTTTGTACCTTTTGATTAAGTACCTACCAATTAAGTTGGAATTTTTGATTTTTTTTACCGAATATGCATACCAATTTCTATTTTTTTTTTAACAAACGATATTATCTACGTTAAGGGAGAGGGGGTGGGCATAGCCTTACAATGGGCTAGTAATAATGTGGTTCAAACTTGCCTTTGGGTGAGAATTGAACATAAGACCTCTCACTTACAAGTGAAGAAGAAGACCATTAGATCGTAGCACTAAGTGATATATATGCTTATCAATTAAGTTCGATTTTTTTTCCCTTTGGTTTGGCAAATAGGTTTATGGTTTTTTTATTTGAGCGCTATTGTTTGGACCCGATTTTACACTATCGGGCCGTGGTATGGTTCTAGACCGTTAAGATAATTTTGTTGGCATTACTATTGATTTTAATCATAGTAATTATCTTGAAAATATTGTTTGGACCCAAATTTACACCATCGGCCCGTGCAATCAAGGTCGTTGAGTGAACATAGTTCTCAATCGTCAGATAGAAAAGTGGAGATAATTTTGTTATTGTTAAAGGGTAATATTATGGTTTTTATCATAATAATTATCTTTTAATATAAATTATCTGCACCTTTTTAAACCAGATATATAGGATGGGAATTCAATCCCAAGCAAGCAGTACAGTTCGAATTGATTTGGGATGTCTGACGACACTTGGAAGGTAAAAATGAATTTGAAATTCATTTGATTAGGATGCATGCATGGATAGGTTTAAAGGTCATCGAATTATGATGATGTGATAAGCATGTGATTTGATGGTCTTGGACAATGGTGAGATAAGAAACCTAGGTAGGCTAGGTTATTTGAGTAGTGATGGGTGTTGTCAAATGAATGATGGTGGAATCACAATGCATGTTGTGTGAAAGATTACTTCCCATGTAATTATGTATTGCGAATTTGGTGGTGATTATCTCCAAAAAAAAGAACCAACCACAGCAGTGCAGGTCGATTGGTGGCTGTTTAAATGAACATTATTTGTTCAAATCTAAGCATGCAGGTTATATTGGGATTCGATGGGATAAGACTAAACACATTTTGAATTTGGTTGCATTTTTTACTAAGTTCAGAGTTTTGGGAGTAGTAAGGCTTATCTGAGGAAGAGTTTTAATAGCTTGGGAGTCTTTATCAGCTTATAAATCAGTGCGTACTTGTCCCTATAAATACAAGACACCGTGTAACATTTCAACCCCTCCAATTCAACACACAAACTGCCCTGCGCAAATTCTCGCTCAACGCGAAACCTCTAAACAACCTTGAGATTTTTTTATTTTCTGTTTCGCCGACACATCTTCAGTTTAGATAAATAGCACTGTGAAGGCAACTAGCGACATCTTTAGTTGGGATAAACAACACTGGAGCCGTAGAATCAGCAGACCGCGAAGCTCCTTCAATTTGGATAAACAACACTGCGTCGAGGCCGATTGGTTATCTATCCAAGTCTCGGTCGAGAAGGATTTTCGAATCCTTATTGGTAGAGGTCATCTCATTAGCCTTCTCGGCGAAGTGAGGTATTACAAGTTGCTTCATTCGGCACATTGAAAGCTGAATTTGATATTGAACTTCGCAGAACTAGCAGCCTTGTCTTTAGGCTCTAAAACCCGAAGGTCGAGACGTGTTCCTTCCTCGGCTGCAATCGCAAGATCAAGAATTCAGCAGCATGCTCAACACAACATCAACTCATTTTACTCACCGGCCGAGCTCGGCTGTCGAGCTGGCACGCCCCGCACACAACCGAACGACGTAGTTAGCTCATTAATTACTCGGCCTACGTACCACGTAGGCTTGGTAGTTTTTAAGGTCTAACAGCTATTATGCCCACCCTCTTTTCTTATCTCCCCACCTTATTTATTTTGTCACCCACCATTAAAAACAGAAACAATGAGATGCTATATCTACAACCACCATTATTTCAAAAATAACCTTGATATTTTAAATTCTTAACAATAAATAAAAAAGAAAATAACAATTAAAAATTTAATTTGTTTAATCTGCTCATGATTTGTGAATAAAAAAAAATCATGAATTAGGCCTAGTGCTCCTTATCAATGGAATTTTTTTCGGTGATATCAATGGAAAAGCTTGAGATCTCATAGTTTTTTGAAAATTTCCCTTTGGATCCCAGCTGGAGACGGTTGTTGTGGGTTGGATTTGGACGAGAGAAGCTGTCGCATGTGGGGTATGGAGAAGGCTAGACGTTCCAGTCCGGTTGTGTATATGGAGGATTCGCGCGGGTCGCCTCTTCTTGGACCTGCAGGAGGCCAGTCTGCAAGTAACAGTTCGTGGGTTCGTCACGGGTCTTCTAGCTGTGAGTTTTATCTTCGCACGAAAAAAAGTGGAGGACGGCGGGGAGCAGTGGTGGTCCTGGTAGATACGGAAGAAAAAGAAAAAGAATGGAAGGTTAGTAGGGGACGATCTGGGCAGGGTTAGTATTCTCCCTCCTTTTTTCTAAACTTTTTCTTTATATTTAATATTCAAATGAAATTTATATTATTTATAGACAGATATTTTTTTAGGTCTTACTTTGTCAAAATCCCTTTTTGTTTAGGTCTTTCAAAATCATTTTGCAAGAGGGTAAACAAAATAGTTAATTTGAAGCGGATGGAGAAATAAGACATAGAGGTGGAATAGTAGAACTCTTTTATTTTTACCTTTTCATTACCCTTTTGAGTTTTTTTTTAGGTAAATTTTATCTATCTTATGGACACTAACAGTAATACAAAGAAGATCAAATTTTTTAAACCAAATATGCAACATAATGGTTGTAGGTGATTGAATTACTAATAAAATATCAATTAACGTGCTTATTTAGAGCATCTCCAAATGAGATGTCAAAATGTCCAAATCAGCAATAACGGTAACAAAAGACAGCATTAATGTTTTTCAACCGAGAAGCCAAATCTGATGTGGCATAACATGGATTGACATCTCTCCCCTTGCTGCCAAATTTGACATCACCTTCAGATTTTTTTTTAATTAGTTTTTAAATGCTTTTTATTAATTTTTTTATTGGTTTAAAACCATGGTCTAAAATATCCATAATATCCCGATATTTCCATCGAAATTTTCGTATTTTTGGACTACCGATACTTCCGATATCATCGATATTTTAGACCTTACTAAGTCACTCAAGTATCTTACCATGTAATGTATAAAGTGTAAAATATTGTACTAATTCATTATATATAAATGATTATGGTGTGTTTAAACTTCTTTCATTAATTACTACATATTTTCTACACTCATAATGTTTGCCAGCTCGCTATATAATCAACTTAAATCAATTATATCTATCTTGCAATGCATTTCCTTCTAATTTTTTTGTGATAAACTAATAGATAATTGACTAAATAAACATCCTGCAAAATTTCAATAAAAATTTTCAAGTTTTTCTTACAATTTCCGTGGTTTTTATTCAATTTTTATCGATATCGATAATATCCCGATATTTCCATCGGAATTTCCGTGTTTTTGAACTACCGATATTTCCGATATCATCGATATTTTATACCTTGGTTTAAACCATTATCCTTTTGTTTCTTTTCATTCCCAATGCAAAGCAAATACATATGAATTATTATTTTATGTTTAAAATTTGACATATCGATTGGATATTAAAAGTTTAAAAGATGTCAAAGTGTCACGTAAGCCTTCAAATTTAAATTTTAGGTTTAAAATTTAACATCTCATTTGAAGATGGTTATTTGATGACACGTCATTTAATTTTGTAAATTTAATTTAAAATTTCACCTTAACATTATCCGTAACAAAAACTAGATATGCAGCAGCAGTCAACAACATAAATATTCAAGATTGAACAAATGTCGTTTTACACCCAGTGCGAATGAGTAATGACTGCTCAAAACTAACGATCATCATCCATCTGTCCCAATCTTCAATAGTATACTACCCCTCCCCTTTATTGACACGTCATCATATCTCCCTGGCCCCCGCTCTTTTTCAATTACAATTGTCCAACCAGGTAGGAGGCAAGTTCATGCATCCAACCACCCTCCCCACCACTATATATACCCCCTCCCTCCTGACTCCCTCGCATCGCAACTCACAATTCAAACCCCCAAACTTTCTCAGTCGACCCACCATCAAAACGCACCGTTTCACCATGCCTTCCTCCGATTCCTTCTTTTCCGTAATTTCGCAATGCACAATTTACCTCCACCAGAAATCCACAATCAAATCCCTGAAGCTCTCCGTCTCTGATCTTCCTATGCTCTCCTGCCACTACATCCAGAAGGGCGTCCTCCTCGAATCCCCGTCCTGCTCCTTCGCCGACCTCCTCCCCTCCCTCAAACACTCCCTCTCCCTCGCCCTCTCCCACTTCCCCGCTCTCGCCGGCCGCTTCGAGACCGACGACGACGGCCGCGTCCACATAGTCTGCAACGACGCCGGCGTCAATTTCGTCCATGCCAAAGCCAAGACCCTCTCCGTCGACGCCATCTTGCGGCCCAACGCCGACGTTCCTCATTGCTTCAGGAAGTTCTTCGCCTACGAAAGGACTTTGAGCTACACCGGCCATTTCAGGCCTCTGGCCGCCGTACAGGTCACCGAGCTCGCCGACGCCGTCTTCATCGGATGTACGGTCAACCACTCCGTCGTCGACGGCACCTCCTTCTGGCACTTCTTCAACACCTTCGCCGAGATTAACAGAGGCGCCAAGAAAATGTCAAAATCTCCTGATTTTTCCCGTGACACCGTCTTCAATTCGCCGGCGGTGCTCCACTTCCCCGAAGGCGGCCCTAAGGTAACCTTTTCCGGCAACGACCCGCTGAGAGAACGAATCTTCCATTTCAGCAGAGAATCGATTCTCAAACTGAAAAACAGAGCCAATAACACTCTGTTTAAAACAACACATAACTGTAACGGTAATGGTAACGATCACGGTAACTGTAACGGTAATGGTAACGATCACGGTAACGGCCTTTCTGAATCGGCCGAGATTTTCGGGAAGCAGTGCAATGACAGCTGGAAAGCCGTTCCTCCATATAACGGCGCGAAAACGTCGGAGTTTTCGTCATTTCAATCTTTGAGCGCGCAGCTCTGGCGTTCCGTGACACGCGTCAGGAATCTGCCCCATTCCAAAACGACGACGTTCCGTATGGCTGTGAACTGCCGCCACCGCCTCCAGCCGAAGATGGACTCGCACTACTTCGGGAACGCGATACAGAGCATCCCGACCGTCGCTACCGCCGGCGATCTGCTTTCGCGAGATCTGCGCTGGGGAGCCGAGCTCCTTCACAAGAATGTGGTGGCGCACGACGACGCCACCGTTCGCCGCGGCGTGGAGGATTGGGAGAGCGCGCCGAGGCTCTTCCCGCTGGGGAACTTCGACGGCGCGATGATCACTATGGGCAGCTCGCCGCGATTCCCGATGTACAACAACGATTTCGGGTGGGGCAAACCTCTCGCCGTGCGGAGTGGCGCGGCCAACAAATTCGACGGCAAGATATCGGCGTTTCCTGGGAGGGAAGGCAACGGGAGCGTTGATTTGGAGGTGGTTCTGGCTCCCGAGACGATGGCGGGGCTGCTATCCGATGGAGAGTTCATGCAATACGTATCGGCTGTAGAATGAGCCGGGTTGTAGCCGATCAAGCAGTGACAGTGGGTGGGAGCCGCCGTTAATGTTCAAAACACCGTTAACCCGTTATGGTGGGTGGGCCGTGGAATTAGGAGTGGTTTTTTAGCGTATTTAAAGCGTCGCTGAGTATAATATGTGTTTTAAGCGCACTGAAATTTTTATGGAAAATTAGGACATGTCAAAACTTAGTCAATCGCTGTACGAGATTGATTTGGACGGTTGTGATGAGACGTCAAACAGCGACGTTTTGGCTACTAGCGTGTGTTGGGTTGTTGGTACTTGGTACTTGGTACTTGCCACTTGGTAGGGGATTAGGATATTATGTTATGTATATTATATATTTTATCTGCTTCATAAATATGCACGTGACGATATTGCCCAACTTAATCTAATAATAATCCTTTCCATTCTATCGTTTATTTGGCAATATTGACTGCTCATATTCCTAATTGTTTAAGCAGAAAATAAAATTCGTAAAATTTTGCCCAACCAAAAGAGGTTATTCAAGTGAAACTGGTGGTGATGGAGGGTAGTTTTTAATTTTAGGTCAATAATTTTTAATCACGAGCCTTATATTCAAATCACAATTTGACATACATACAATAATTACTTGGTAAAAAAAACAAAACCAAGTATTTGCGAAAGCAAAATCCTAACTAATGTAAACTCATTTCTTGACCTGCATTTTACTAGTCAAATATCTATCTAGACTTTATTTATTAAGGTTTTAATCATTCAATACATAAAAGAATCAACCCATAGCAAATTGGATTTCGATTGAGTTTAATCATTTAGTGAACATGTTTCATGTAAGTCTTTCGCATAACATTGTATTATTAAATTTGAATGCCCTATAAACGATAAATCCGTTTCATGTAAATCATTTTTATCGGTAATGGAGACACCAATATCACAAATAGTCCTCAAACCGAACAGCGTCTGAGAGTGAGATAAACCTCGACCATTGAGTCCCAAATGCCAAAACTTGTTTTCATGGGGCAGCTTAGGAAAGCTGCAGGTACCTGTGCATATGTTCCGCAAGATGCTCCCAACCATCCAAAATGCACGTTAGATAGATTCTCCTCTCTTTTTGACAAGTATTTGATTTGGTGTTTTGCAAAGGGAATTATTATTAGTACTCCAAAAATCTCATTCTACACACCAAACTTTCTAATTAGGAAAAAAAAAATACATTTGTGAGGAGTGTAGAATGAGATTTTTGGAATGCCAATAACCCTTCCCTTTGCAAATTAGCCACTAAATTTGTTTTGTGAGATTTTCATCAGACTTCCTATCCAAACCCAACTCTTAGTTTTACATTGTACACATGACCTAAATTAACCTAATTAGCACGAGTTGTGAGGAGGAAGTGAGGAGAAACGGCTTAGAATTAAAAGAGATTAACAGTTTGACTTTAACCGAAAATTTAAGCTAACTGCGGTCAGTTTTGTCTAAAAGTACATGTTTTAGTGCCATGCTAAGATTTCAGAAAGACGTATCTTTGCTCCTTACTTCAAACACTGTTATCACCCACACCTTAATCTTATGCACAAAGCAGATATGAGGTTTTATCATGATAGGCGTCGTATTACTAGTTTGCATTATTGCGTCAAACCTCCAGAGTGAAACTTTTACACTCTTCAACAAGAACGTAAGAGACGTCTAAATCCAATCCCTTATGCTATGTGCAACGAGCTTGGCATAGAGAAAAATACTTCCCTGCCTTGGTTTCTCTATCCCCATTCTCTTCCTACATGCATCGGATGATTTTTCGATGTGAAGAAGTTAATGAACACCAAATATCTTTCTTTCCCGACACTTAGAGGTTTGGTACTGAGGTGCTTTTATAAAAAGTGGGTATAAAAAAAAGCTGAGCTCAAAAATGTGTTTGGTAAACACTTAAAAACAGCTTATTTTCACAATTTTGCAGCAAAAATGAGCTTATTCTCACAGCACAGCAAAAGCAGTTTTTTTTCAAAGCACAGCAATACCAAACCAGCCCTTACTGTAACTAGCCGTCCAAGTACCGTATTTATGGATGAAGGAGATGAAGTGCAAGTGAAATGCATGGAATCAAACAGTGACTTTGCACTTGAACTTACTGTCAGCTGACATCTGACTAAAAGTTACCTCGTTAAAACAACATACGAGGAACTTGCAAAACGTTGGACGCAGAAAACATGCACACAGATCTCTCATTTCCCATTTGGTTGTGCAGTAAAATTACAAATTTCTTGGTAAGATGTCGCAAAGACGGGTTCGAATGCACTTTCGTGAACATACGAAAATTAGCAGGAGACGACACAACTGACATTGTCTACCGTCCAATATGTACAACAAATAATTTACAATTATCCCAAGTACAATCCACCAATAACTTCTTTTGAAAGCGCAAAGCAAGTTTACAAATAACTAGTTACCTGTGCTGAACGTCGTAGGATCTGAAATCACCTGTACTTGATTTCTGGTGTGGTTGGAGGAAAGATGCGCTTCATGAACCACTGCAACGGTCTCAGAAATTGCGCTCTCTTCTTCCTCCAGAACCAAATGGCGTCACTGTATTGCTCATTTCGAATTACTCGCGTGGCTGCTTCCAATCGTACTTCTCCATTTCCTCACGCGCTGCCCTGCCAATTGTTTCCCTTAATTCCTTGTTCTCCAGCAGGGGCTGCAACTTACTTAAGCAGTCATCAAGGTCATTGTAATCGTAGAGAAAGCCAGTTTTCCCCTCCTGATCTGCCGGAATTATATCTGGGATTCCACCAGCACGAGCTCCCACCACAGGGATACCTGAAGACATAGCCTCCAATACAACAAGCCCTAGTGTCTCTGATTCTGAAGGCATCACAAAAACGTCACCACTGGCATATGCCTGAGAGAGCTCTTCACCTCCTAACATTCCTGTAAATACCGCGGGCATGCCTTCAAACAGTTTTTCCAGATCCTCCCTGCCAAAATAAAAACCATATCATTGAATGAGTACCAGTGATTGTTATGTTGAGAAAGGAACATGCTTTTCCCCCAAATTTCCAAATAATAATCCCTAACACCAATGGTAAAGCTGCTGCATCATTTTTTTACAAGCTTTTCTGTAGACGCAGATTACTCCCTATTCTAGAAGTTCATTATGTACCAGAGTAATACCTGTATGGTCCATCTCCAATGAAAGCAATTCGTGCTTCGGGAAGCCGATCCATGACACTGTTAAATCAAAATGGTTTATAGGTTTAATCGCTGCAAATTATAGAAATATTTGTAAAATCAAGGCACATATTACAGAGGAGATCTACCAAAACAACATCCAAGTTTACGCTTTAAATATGTTATTTTTAAGAGAGAAGAACACTACCTTTTCAGAAAATCCAAACTCTTCTCCACTCCAAGTCTTCCAACATGAACAATTAAAGGTTTCTCAGGTTCGCCATTGCTATTCACGACAACATACATGAATCAGAAAAGTTTCCAAACTCATGGGAAAGTGAAAGACACAAACTGACAAAGTGAGGCACTACCTCAGTCTTATGCGCATTTCATGAGAACGGAAGCGGGGATTGAAGCTTTCAGAATCAACACCTTTATTCCAAAGACGGATTGTATTAGCTGCAAACAAGCAATTAAAGATTAGTTTACATTTGTTGTGAATCGACACGTTTTTTCTATTCAGTCAACAATTTCAGAAAAGTAAATCAAGGATTGAGACATCAAACGAGTTTACTATATTCACCTGCGGCCACCCCAGCTTCTAGGAGATCCTTACTGATTGCAGCTGATGGCACTAGTGTGAGATCAGCAGCTCTGTGCAGAAATTCTGATAACGAAAACAACAATGTTAATTATATGCTCTGGTATCCATATCACTATATGAGGCCATTATAAAGGTAGGGTTACATACTTATGACCAACCACATGGGTTTCACCAGCCAACTGAAGGTGTATCTCGGGATATATCTGCACAAAAATAGAGATCAAAGCTCAGTCCTAAACGCTCATCAACGTATATTACTTTCTTCGTAAGCAATTATATGATTTTTCAAAATATAAAATGCAATCTGACAAAGTTTATGCTGAAAACTTGAACAAAATTAAGAATTAAACTCACACTGGCACATGAGTGTGATACGACATCACTATGGGGACAGATAACAACTTAGCGATAATGAGCGCGCCAAAAACCTGAAAAATAGTGTTATGCATCTGCCATCTTTTCAATTCTTTGTAATTAATCTATTTTATCTATAATAAAATATACACAATCAATCTACCATCTACAAAGAAAAGAATAAGAACGAATTAAACGCCTACCATAATTCCAGGCGAGGATGCATGTATAATGTCAGGCTTGAACTGAGCAACCTCCGAAATTATTCTAGGACTAAGTGCAAGGGAAAGGGGCACCTTTTGATACAAGGGGCAGGGAAAGCTGAGAAATAAAACAAACAAGAGCAAACCAAAGGGAACGAGATCAGGAAGAGTAATGTTTTGTATGCTTTCTGTCTACTAAATTTTTTAGGCACTAAACTATTAGAAATTAGATCACTATATAGCTTACCTTCGGGATCCAATCAATTTTGCTCCATAAAATTCGTCAGGGACTCCTTCGTGGGTTGTCACAACCATCACCTATACCATGTATCAGTAAGAAAATATGTCAGTCCTCGTGCAAAGACAATCGGCATTTAAAGAATTTCATCGTCATGGAGTTTAAATAAGCCAATGTAACTGCCAGTTTAGCCAGGAATCTCATTCTCACTAATGCAGGTTCACTTAAGGGAGTCCATACTCTATATAATACAAAGCGTGGAGATATAAAGAATTTACCTCATCCCCCATTTCACGCAAGTATCTAATGAAATTCTGGAACCGATTTTTATAACCTGACACATATCTGCAAGACAAACCGAAAAACAAAACATATCAATAGGGAACCTTTGGTGGTTCATATCTGCTGAACATTTAACAGGGTAGAAATTACAAATCATCATAATAAAGCTCAAATTACGTTTCTAATGTGTTTACTCCTGTACGGCAAGATTTACGTGAATGCAGTACATTATTTTAATTTACGTTTTAGTGCAGTTGAATCAAGCTTAAAGAACATTCTTTCTCTTACTCAACAAACTTCCAACGGTCAGTAACTCAGAACATGAGAAGAAGCATATTGGGAAAAGAGAGAATAAGAAGCAAGACTCATAGTTAACAAATACAAATCATACTACCCATTAATTGTGAACTACAAGATAACTAGAAACCAAGCAATCTCTAAGATGACAACTAATGCGACGTCACACGTCAACCAACAAGCTCACCAAAAATGTAACCGAATAGATTTATCAAAAGATAAATCATTAACATACAAAGACTATTATACTACAAAACCACAAGATAAATTCAGCACAAAAACCTTCAGTCAGAGCAACCAAATTAACTAACCCACAGTAATAACTGAAGGAAATTGAGGTTCCGCCCTAAAAGCAATCGGAAATAGTGGGAATGACCCAACTCAAGCCCTTGCAAGGTTCCTTAATTTCCCTATGTGGGATTCACACACTCAACACCACGCTCATATCTGGGGTCATTTAAGCCTAACACGCGGAAAATCCACATTGGCAGATGTGGAAGCATGTGGACTTTTGGGCTCAACATGTGGGATAGCATGCCAATAAGGAAGTTGAGGTACCAACCTAAAACCAATTGGCCATAGAGAAAATACCTTATTTCCCTTATTCCGGATTCAGACTCTCTACATGACCATCCAATTCCCCGAATAAACGGACAAATACAAAATTAAAATCTTAATCCCACTCTTATGACGGGCAAAATGTGAAACAACAAATACTATCCAAATAAAAACAACACTTAATAGCTAATGGACAAAACTAGCCAATTACTCATCAAAATGATCCCAAGAGACGCCGACGCCATACCAGAATGAACAAACCAGCAAGCCGGATAGCAGCTGGCATATAACCAGATTACTCTACCATTGAGATGGAAGAACCACCAAATCTACCAGCTAAAACAGCAGCACGAGTCATGTACTTAATCCAAAACAAAAGCAACCAAATTTTAGCTAAAGTTAATGATAGTTAATATAGAACCTTCAAAGGAACCACAGATGCCTTATAGTCAAAGTTTTAAACCGACAAAGATTCTCGATGCAGGACGTCCGTCATAGACAGTTCATCAAACACAATTTTAGTCACATCTAAAACCAGGTTAGATCCAAACCTACTGCCAAAGGCAGCACCTAAAGCCACAAACTTCACTTAATTGTGGCTTAAAATTTTAAGCAACCATAATTAAAAACAGATAAAGAAAGCATTTTGACAACACGGGTAATCTCAAAATTGAAAATTTAGTGAAGCTAAATCATAAAGTTCCCAGAAACTCTGAAAAAGTCAAAGCAGCAAAACAGGAGAGAGACACTCACGCAAAGGGAGAAGGCTCAACAAAGAGAGCAATGCGACGAGGTCTGGAATTAATCTCCGACTCAACATATGGAGGAGGACCCTCTTCCACTTCCTTTTCCTCTATCTCGACCTCTGTAATTGTCATGTCGCTGGCTTTAAGCTCAAGTTTTCTACTTTTTGGTCTCTCGGAGGCACACAATCGAACACCTTGAGTCCAAAGGCTACTGGGTTTTGTTCGCGAGGATTGGCCGCCTGGGAATCTGAGGGGAGGACAAAAGGCAGATGATTGGGTGGTGGATGCCGAAAAGGAGGGAGGAGAGAGAGAGGGATTTATAGAGAGAGAAGCAGGAGAGGAGGTCAACATGATGAGTATAATGTAAATTGTAATATAAAAGGAAGTAGAAGTTGGAATGGAAGAGGGTTTTTGTTACCAAATTTGTGGGAAATATTCCGTTGGGATTAAGGAATATCATAAAATTTGGGTTCATGTGGAGGATAAGATGAATTATTTGCTAGGAATCTAGATGACCTTGAAGGACCTTTGGCAATGGATATTCTTTGGGAGGTGGTATCAAATCTAAGCTCTCTTAGCATATGCCCCATCTATTCCTTGTTAGTTTGAGATGTTTGAGAACTTGAGTTGAATCTTTCTTCTTCACCATTCAACAAACCAATAAAACGAGGAAAAAAAATCTATACGCAATTCAATTTAGAGATATGGTAAAGAGCGTATCAACGTCAGTATAGATAATTCTCATCCGCTGATACATTTCAAACGTAATTCGTAAATAATGATTAACTTGAAGTGTTCACATGCACATGACTAATTATCTCAGTTTTGGTGAACGAGGTTACTAGCTCGAGTGGACAATTCTTAGCCGTTGATGCGTTCCAAATACAATTATTTAATAATCAAAACAGCCGAAAGTTGTCTATACGAACTGACGAGTAACTTAATTAAACATATTTTTTTACTAACCAAGAGTTGAGAGCTGCTTACTGAAACAGAACGAATTAGTCCACATAACCCTTTAATAAATTAGGACAAGATGGAAGATTAACAAGTAAAGGAATAATTATATAATGTAATGGGTATATGGTTTACTTTCTCTTATGGTGTCAAGGCATTAATTATTTTACAATTGCGTGTATTTTCTACAAATGTACAATATTTTGTTTGTAGCATTGGCCAATCACTTGATAATATATACTTTTTTATTTCACACTTAGAGAAACATATAAACAAATTTGAATTACAGTCAAACTTATAAAAAAATTGCCACAGTAACACACACAACCTCCATCCCACGGAAAATTCTTCTATCCGATTCGTGGTGGGTTATGGGGAATGAGGATAAGGATCACGAAGATCTTTAAAACGTGTCTATTTACCGTACATTATGTGATCAATTTTCGTCAGGTATTGGTCATGTTTAATTTTAAATAAAAACATTTAAAATAATTTTTAATCGTACGATGTACGAGTTATAGGATAATAGTGGTCCTCAATATCAAAGAGATGAGTATGTGAACTTTATTGTGTCCGAAACTACACTAACACACACATGGTTCGAATATCGGATCCCAAAATTTCTCCCATCCTACAAATCCTTGCCTCAGCATCATAGAAAAGTAGGGGTGGGTTCAAAAAACCAAAAACCGAAATCCGAAAAAAACCGAACCGAATTGAAAAAACCGAACCGAACCAAATTCTTTTGGTTCGGTTTCGGTTTCAATGGTCTAGAAACCGAACCGAATTAATTAAATTAATATTTTTTTATATTTTATTTATTTAATTATCTGTTTTGGATATTGTTTTCACTGTGCTCTTGGAGGATAAATCAATGAATCAAATGCTGATGGCTGTCATGCCTCTTTTATGTTTTCAGGGGGAACCTGGTTTCCTTGCTTCCCAAGTACTTATTTCTTGACGTGGTCATTTATATCATCTAATCAATCATCTTACATTATTATTATTATGTTTGGCAGGACCGACTTCATTTGCACCTGTAATTGGACAGGCCATGACCATTGTTGAGGAGAGTGGTGGCCAATACCATGTCTTGTTCATAATTGCAGATGGCCAGGTAACTTGCCTTATTCTTGTTGTACTTAGTTAAGCATGCAATTAGAGGGTCAGACATGCGCCTTTTGGTTTTAGAGTCTAGCACAGTTCAGGAGTGGGCTTCATATTTTTAGTTTCAAAACACACTAATGGTCACTACTCTAAATGAATCATGAAAAACTTTATCAGTTAAGAAGTCGGTCAGACATGCAGGTTACGCAATAATAATAGCATCTTCTTTAGATCTGTTACTGGTGGCTGCACTAGCTGCTACTTAGATAATTAGTCGTGTAACGAGCTTTGCTTATCCTTGCTCTTCTGTTTTACGATGGCTTGCAGGCTGAGCCCTCAGGAACAGAACACGGGCAATGAAATGGTGAATTGTTGTGAAAAATTTACTGTAAAATTGGATGAGTAAAAGGGGAATGAAATGGTTGAATTTTACTGTGAAAAACCGAACCGAACCGAATAGTAATTTCGGTTTGGTTTCCGGTTTCGGCAAAAAATCGAACTGAACCCACCCCTACAGAAAAGTACCAAAACAAAGAAGTTCCCCCACCATTACTATTACCAATTATTGTATTTACCTTTTTTTTTTTTTTTTGTCAAACTATAGATTTTGTTAGATTAGTTACTAACATGATTCGAATCCACATCATCATGTAAGGGCTCAACATATTTCTACCACTGTGGTAACCAATTATTGTATTTACCAAATTTCAACTTTTGATAAATAGCTGACGGAAATTTTTTATGTTATCATATGAACTAATACACCCTTTTCAATTTGTTATATGAATTAGAATTTTAAAATATTTGTCATATCAACTTTTCAAAATTATTAATTTATCATCTCATCCTAACACTATTAAGTTTTTCATCCAAAATAAGTCATCTACGAGTGTTCTAGGTTATTTCGAACTTTGATCTCCTTTTCACAAGTTATTCATTTCTCTTTGGTACAAACTCTTAAACTTTGGCTAGTTAAAAAACACGTCGTGTTTGTTTGAAATTTTTTGGTGAACAAATAAAAAAGTACATCACTAACATGAAGTTGTGGCTAATTACAAGCTTTGAGAATTCAACATAGTCAATCATGTTCATAGAAAAAAGTGGTCAATCATGGCCATCTCTTTCATTTCATTGCTACCATACTAAGAATATTAATCCATTGCTCAATCATGTCCAAAAGAGGAAATTGTAGAAATGGTCCTTAACTTTAATCCAATTAGAGAAATTGTCCCTCAACTTTAATCCAATTAGAGCAATGGTCCCTCAACTTTATTTCCATGACCATTGGCCCCTTAACTTGTCAAAATGTGCGGCTATAGTCATTTTCCTTAACACCGTCAATAAATCCGTTAAATTCAATCATGTGCGTGGCACATGAGACTGACTGTAGGGGCAATTAAGGAAACATATTATTTCCCAGGTTAAAGTCAATACCCATCCCCAATTGAAACTTCCTCCATGCCCAATTCTCAAATTCCCACCATGTATTGCAGTAATCAGCTTTTAATGAAGGAAAACAATTGCAGAAACTCAGTTTCGAAACGGTTATGGACGATGTGGTGTGGAAGAGATTTACTGCACTAGTATAGAGGAGAAGGGATAAGGCTTTACTGCATTGGTATAGAGAAGAACGCATGGAGGAGAAGGCAATTCACTGAACCCGAGAGTAGCATGAATAATTTGGAAGCCATTGCCAATGAGGAAAAGGCATGGAGGGAAAGCATGGATGTGTTACAATAGTACCAAGAAAATGAGCAAGAAGAATGAATTAAACTGCAATTCAACATACAACACTTGCTAGTTTGGTTTTTTAGAATTTACTAAAGCATAAATTTGTACATGATTCTTATTTGCTGCTTCCGTGTGTTGTGATTTTCCAAATGTGCACACTTGCCTAAATAGGCTTAGTAATTGTGAGCATATGCCTCAATGGCAACATAGAAAATACAAGCCCCAAACAAATGCTAAAGGGAAAACAAGTGATGACAAACCGACAACATTGGGACCCCAAAGTAAGACCACAAACACTATAATATCAACAAAAGCTGCAGACACAAGAATCTCAAAAGAAAGCATGACAAGGATGAAGAAATCAACTAATAAAAAGGAAAAGGATCCTCACCGGATTCTTTTTCTCGAATCTTATGATCGTGACCATTCATCGTATATCGTGCGGTCAGTTTTCGTTAGATACTATTTATATTTAATTTTAATTTTTAAATTTCAAATGATTTCTGATTGCACGGTATATGATGAACAGTCACGATCACGAAATCTCTAGGATCCAAAAAAAGAGAAGGATCCGACGAGGATCCTTTTCCCTAATAAAAGGTACATATTCTCTTCGAAAACACCCATATAGAATAACAAATTATAAAAGGTTCAAGTTTTCTGGAAAACCTTACAATATTTCGGAGGATCTCTGGTTCACCTTATGATATCCAACAACTCCATCGTCCTCTGCTAAACTAACCCTGAAATCGAACATTAAAACACCCAAATTTCCGATTGCAAACCCAAGTGCACTAAGTATTATCAGTTTTGGAGGGATTGAACACTCAAACAACTCATAAATAACCCTTGTTTGTACCATACTTAGGGCCTCCGTATTTAGATCTCGTATAAATACTTGGGGGACTCAAATGTAATTATGTAATAAATGAAAGGGCAAATATGTTATAAGTGAGGATCCCTTATTCTATAAAAGGACTCCCCACTCTCCTCATTAGGGAGGTCAAGTTTGAGACCATGGGAAGAGAGCATATAGAAAATAGGCTAGAGAGCACACTGCCTCTAGCCTCTTGTATATTCACCATTCAGAGTGAAACAATATCAACATCAATGTGGACGTAGCCCAAACATTGGGGTGAACCACGATACATCTTGTATTCTTTACATTCTTGCAGATTCACAGTCGGATTTACGTTGTTCCAAGACCTCTCGGTTTTGTGCATCAACATTTGGCGCCGTCTGTGGGAATCGACACAAAACGTTATGTCGATTCTCTTTCATTTTTTCATCTCACCACCTTGAGACCTCATCACTGTCCACCGTGAATCTGCAAAACCCAAGGGCCCAAAACCTCACTTTTGGATTTTTTTCCAGAAAACCCTCTCTCTCTCTCTTTCTCTCTCTTTGATTCCCAGAAGAAAATAAAAAGCTTTAGTCTTTCTCTCTCTACTCAAACAGTAGAAGAAACCCAACTCAAGATGTGCCTCTCCTTCTCTGTCATCTAACTCTCTAAACCTTGTTCTTTCTCCTCTTCTTGCTCATGAACTCAACGCCCGTGAAATGGCCGAGATGTCCGGAATGGATTTTGGGATGATGGGTTTGGAGGGTTTGGTGGGTCACGACGCTATAGGAGGAGGGTTTGGTGGATCCTTAGTCTCGTCTTCCTTCCTAAAATCCCAAAAAATCCATCAGATTTGCGGAGCTTCAAGATCTCACTCTGCTGCTCCACTTCTCAGAACGTGCTCTCCAGGTCGTC